TCTGATTCATTAAGATGTATTTCCCAAACCCCCTTATTGATTTACATATGATATATGTTTCCACGAGTTGACTACATATTGATATCAGTTAGAGTACCATTGAAAACCAACACAAGAGTACTGCCAGACGGCTGTTTCATCCCACTAGTTTGGGAATAATTGGCAGTAGGCAGCCATCAGCAGGCTTCGAACCCAGGATCTTCCAATCACAAAACAAGCTGGCCAGTAGGCCATTCAGCTACTAGGACCCATTTCAATGGCCAGTGCATGAATTCTAACTTCTACCAATTCGTGATTCAGCGCGACCACCAACCAATGTCGTCCATAGGGCATACATCCCGACACTTGACTGGATGTACTTCACTGCTCACGACTTTTCACTAGAACTCCGGGAAACCCCGTTGTGTAGCAAGTCACTAGAGATCATCAGATTAATTTTCTATAGTTGTTTTGTGACGATTAGATTTTATTTTAGGAGTTGATCACAGATTGATATCAGTTAGAGAACTATTGAAAACCGACACCAGGGTACTGGACACCTGTCGTATCCGCCTAGTTTGGGAATCATCGGCAGCACGCAATCACTGGGATTCGAACCGACGAAGTTCCAGTTACAAAGCAAGCCGGCTCGTATAACATTCAGCGTACTGCTGATGATTCCCAAACTAGGTGGATGAAACAGCTGTTCAGTACTCTGGTGTTGGTTTTCTATGCCTGTCTAACTGATATCGATACATGGCCGAACTTGTAAATACGAATCTAATCCTTACAAAACCAACTATGGAAAATTTTCATTTCCATATAAGCTTAAACTACTGGAATTTTCGTAATATTAATAATAAGAGTAATAATGATATATCTATTCTGGACACTATTTATATAATGTAGGGGATTTTCAGAAGTTTAATTGGTTGATGATAACTAGCAGTGGAATCCAGGATGCGCATTTCATCCTATTTGGGACTCGTCATCTGGATGTACCTGCATTTCTCAGTGAGTGATGATGTTCCGACCGAGGCTCGAACCCAATCTATCGACGGGAAAATCAAACATTCAATCAGATTTTCAGAAGTGTTTAGTGAAATATAGGTTCTTTCTCTGTACAGAATTTCTAGATGAAATACTAACCAACACTAAATCTAATCTCTAAAATGCCAACCACTTCACTTCTTATTTTGTCGACATTTGGTTGCAAAAAGCAAGACTTTCAAGAGTAGATTTTAAGACTCAATCATATAACTCAGAAAGAGTGTTATTTTATGTAAATGGATACTCTGCATCTAACGATTTTGCTTTCACTCAGGTTCAGTAGAAAGTGACGAATGAGAAGTTGGTAAATATTTCAAATACTCGCAATAATAATTAACAGCAATAAAATCCATATTTTAATCGAATCAAACAAAGTGAACAGTGAAGTTCAGTTATAGAGGTTTTTAAGCAGCTAAAGCCTTAAGCAGGCCACCGCAGAAATGCATCACCTTTGATTCAGTGTATACCACATTATCATTGTCTTCTTTTCCTATTTGAAATAACTCGACATTTTGAAATCTTAGAAGATAAATATGGAGTATATACAATTACATTTATCTTTGAAATAATAGAAAAGATTTGTAACTCAGGTGGATGATATGCAATTGATAGTGTTCTCTGAGCTCCTTGGTTTAGTTGCGGAGCTTTCATCGTCTTTCTGGACGACATCTTCAGCGCAGTATTTAGGATAAAGTGAAATGATTTAAATTTCTTCATGAGTCTCCCGGTAACCATCTTTAGATATTTATTGACCGTTTTCTATTGATTGGGATTTTACACTTTCTGATCACCTGATTTACTTCTTATTAGTTGGTATATTCCAATCAATAGAAAACGGTCAATAAATATCTAAAGATGGTTACCGGGAGACTCATGAAGAAATTTAAATCATTTCACTTCATCCTAAATACTGCGCTGAAGATGTCGTCCAGAAAGACGATGAAAGCTCCGCAATTAAACCAAGGAGCTCAGAGTACATTTATCTTTGTCTAACATCACTTTTCAATTAAATATCACTCTGCAATCAAAACGAAATTAAACTGAAAATGAATTCAATTCTTAGTTCTGGGAATAGTTTGTACTAATGAAGACTCAGCTGTCAGAAGAAAAGTAGGACACACTGCTCATCGATTTCCAGTGTTTCTCAAGCTGATAGTCCGTTCTTGACGAAATCGAACTTGTATTCTATTGACAATTGAAAAAATAATGATTTATTCATCTCTAGCTAAGAATTAATTAGCAAACGATTAAGGATTGTAGTAACTGTAAAGTTATGTTTTTTTTATATAGTTTGGTTTGTAAGGGTTAGTTATGTTTTTACTAGTTGATCACGGATTGATATCGGTTAGAGAACCATTGAAAACCAGGGAGTACTGGAGAGCTGCTGTTTCATCCTAGTTTGGGAATCATTGACAGTGCGCACCCACTGGGATTCGAACCCACCACATTCCGGATACAAGACAAGCAAGCTCGTATCCCATTCAGCCACTGGGACCCGATTCAATGGCTCATGAATTCTAACTTCTACTAATTCATGATTCTCAAACTAGGATGAAACAGCAGCTGTCCAGTACTCCCTGGTCTTCAATGCTTCTCTAACTGATATCAATCCGTGATCAACTCGTAAAAACATAACTAACCCTTACAAACCAAACTATGGAAAATTAATCTGATGCTCGCTAGTGACTTGCTACAGGTTGGAGTTTCCTGAGTTCTAGTGAGAAGTCGTGACCAGTGAGGTCCAATTAGATGTCACGTGTGTGGATGGATGTCCCACCAACGACAATGGTTGGGGTCGCGCTAAATCACGAATTGGTAGAGGTTAGAATTCATGTGCTGGTCATTGAATCGGGTCCCAGTGGCTGAATGGTATACGAGGTTGCCTTGTAACCGGAAGGTCCTGGGTTCGAATCCCAGTGGGTGCGCACTGTCGATGATTCCCAAACTAGGATGAAACAGCAGCTGTCCAGTACTCCCCGGTTTTCAATGGTTCTCTAACCGATATCAATCCGTGATCGACTCGTAAAGTTATGTGTCTTTTATTTTTAGTCATTTCACATCAGTACTTGATAAATGATTGGTAGGGTATCTCAGTACAGTAAATTGTCCTGCTGAAAACTGTTTCTCACCCATTGTTTCTCAAGAGATTATATCAGTTATCTGACCAGTGTATTCAAAATAGTAGTATTAGCGAAAAAGGGGCATAACGGTGGCAGTTTAAATGTTTGATTTAATTCAATCAAATCCCTAAAAACCAATATTTGAGTATAATTGAGATGCTGACTAGCGAATGGCCGTATTCGGGTAAGCAGTAACGTAGTGTTCTGGTGGGAAGCTGCGACAGTAGAGAACAGGAGGTCGGACTTGAGGACAAATACTCGCCACCGATGATATTGACTATTGTTCGTGCTATGTCGTGACTGGGTAGGAGATGTAATTTACCGGCCGGCCACTGACTCCGATCCTAGCGGCTAGATGGTCTTCGAAGTCGCCTTGTCATCATAATTTTCCAGTTGCGAACCCCGGCAGGTGAGTACTACTGACGGTTCCTAGGATGAAACAGTTGTCTAGTACTCGCAGGTTGTCCAGTGGTTCTCTAATCGATATCGGCTTATAATAAAATCCTGTAACTAGTTTGATTTAATTAAATAAATTATTCGGAAGGTCGAAATTATTGATTAAAGAATCTCATGTAGTGACCAAAACCAACGTGTTGTAGTCTTAACGCAAGAAACCAATCGTCGCGTTCCCCTGTATTTATCCAGTGAAAACTGCTTTGTACGATATACAGTACGACAGCGTTCAGACGATCGAAAATGGACAGTTATTTGCAATGCAACTTGTGGAACCATTTGACTCCAATGACATATCAAAAAGCAAAATAACCTCAGCAATGCTGTTAGACAGCTACACTGACAAGAGTTAACTTTCAGGTACCAAACAGGTATTATACAAAAGAATTATGTAACCGAAAATTAACCACAAGAAGTACACAAGGACCAAGAAGAATATCCTCAGAGGAGTTGAGTCAAAACTCTGTCAGCAAGAATCACGCACGAAATACTTCCTGAAGACAGTCTAAGGTCAGAATGACCTAACGTCACTTCAAAAAATAATAGTAGTAAAATAGCACTCTATTAATATGAATGCACATTTCGCCCTATTAAGGTCTCGTCATCTGGATATACCTGCATTCCCCAGTGGGTGATGATGTTCCCATCGAGGCTCGAACCCGGTGCCCATAGTTTCAAACGCCAAAGCTTTATCTAGTAGACCATTTGGGCCACGAGAGCCACCTCTTCTGCAACGAGTCATAATAATTATTTAATTGAATTTTAGATTTCCCTATCGATTGAATGGTCAAGTGGATAACTCTTTAGCGTTTGAAACTATGGACACTGGTTTTGAGCCTCTGTGTTGAGAACATCATCACACACTGGGTAATGCAGGCACAACCGGCTGACGAGTCAAAAAATAGGACGAAATGCACATCCTGGATCCCACTGCTAGTCATTATCCACCAATTAACTTCTAATTAAATGCCCAGACATCGTCGAAGCATCTGCACAAGAAGCCAACATGTTGAGCTGAGACCAAGCACTTCGGTCCAAATAATAGACGGGAAAATCTAAAATTCAATTAAATTACCAAGTTAGTTGGAATGTCGTAAATAGATCGTTCAGGTCAGAAGAGGTTTTCCAAACAATTACTCGGATACGTCCCACACACAATCTATCTTTGTTTAATATCTGCATATATAAAAATTAAACTCGTCAACTGATACAGCTTTCGTGTCTATTTCAATAATCATATTATTCCAAGAAAGAGAAATCGATTCTAAGACTGAAATTAAGCAATAATATTATATAAAGTGTTTCAGTATTAATTATATTTGTTATATTTGTTATTGCAACTTCTATATGAAAAGTTTTTTTTAAACATTTTTAATTTCCATTCTCTTCCTTCATCAGCTGCAAACAATCGCGTTGGTTATTTTACTCGTACTGTTCTTCACTATAATCGTCGGCAATCTTACTGTACTTGTTGTGATATTCTCGAGGAAAATTAAAACACACATGAAAATATTCATTATCAACTTAGCGATTACAGGTAAGATAAAAGGATGATTATTTTTAAAGGTTAACGTAGATTTGTTTTCCTGTTTTGAAAATCCCCCATTGAGTCATATGAAAAAGAGGAGAGGACGTTCAGCGGAGAGACTCTTTTCGACGGCAAATTTATTCACATAGCTGTACAATCACATTTCCAAATGAGCCTTTATTAAGTTTAGATAATTGATGAGGTAATACAAGAATGATGTAATATAGAAACAAAGTTAATCGGATAGCAACTAGAGTAAGATTGAGTTAGTAACTTAGATGACGTAATATTACTGACTAAAATGTTTTAACTTAGGTCAGGATAGCAACAGAGGTGATTACAGGTAGAGACTGAGAAGCGATTGGGTAGAGAATAATGCCATTTAAATTAGGACAAAAGTTGAGCAAATAAGTTGGATGGCGTAACATAAATGACTAGAAATTAAGCGTTGGTCAAGTCAATAACAGTGGTAATGAGGTGTAGAAATTAAATAGCGTGAGACTAGAGAACAAGAAGGTTGAAAATGCAAAATATTACAACTGAGAAAACAAAATAATACTAATGAAGAGACAGAAAAAAAAGGATTAGGTAGAATTTACTTGTCGGGTAATAAGATAAATTACGTCTATTGCAAGTGTAGTGATTGAACGAACTTCTTCTGCATGCAGAGTTCAGGGCTCAGCAAGTGAATCACCATTGCTTCTGCGGTTTGAAGAAGTCCGATTCGTACACCTTTAGGAAGACTACTTCTTACTCTGTAGACGACTTTGAAATTTGCTTGGGGTGCAGCTTGTTTTCCGGAATCTATCAGATGTTCTAGGATGGAGCTGCGGAGACATCGTTCTTCTCCTTTGTAAAACCATGCTGGTATTATTCTCTACCCCACCTCTGCTTGGTCTCTACCTGTAATTACCTCTGCTGCTATCCTGACCTAAACTGAAACATTCTAGTCAATAAGATTACTAACTCAATCTTACTGTAGTTGCTTCCGAATTAACCTTGTTTCTATTTTAGATCATTCTTGTGTCACCTGATTAATTATCTAAACTTGACAAACTTCATGTACACACACACACACAGTGATTGTATGTAAATACGATTGTACAGCTATGTGAATGAATTCGCAATCGAAAAGTCTCTCTTCACTGAACGTCTTCTCTTTTTCATTTGTTTTCCTGTTTAAAAGCTTACTTAATGAGATAACAAAATATAATTCAGTACAAGGAGGAATTCCTAATCATCCGCATAACCATATTTGTAGAAAATATGTCTTCATTGAGGTTCGAATATGAGCACACTTCTTCATTAATATTATTCCCCTGGCTTCAACACTTTGCCTCCATGTCATCCTGTTCTCTGAGAGTCATCTTTAGCTAGCCCTATGATTATCAGCAAGTTTTCACTTCCTCCTTACACGCCTAGACTCAGAACCAAATCGTTACTTCCTATTCGGGTTCCACTTGGGGGCTTGGCACATGATGCCCCCCCTACGACCTGTTCATCGTGCGTCCTGTCAGTCTCTATTTTCTTCTGCCTATATGTTGGGTGATAGATTTTGATTAGTTTGTTTCGAGAGTTTATTACTGGTGATTCTTTTTAACCATCTGCTCTTTAATATGGAATGAAGGCAGATGCTGATAAAAGTCTGACGTAACCTGTTGGAAATGCTTTCAGGGATGTGTATATGTGTGTGTGTGCTAAGTTTCTGACCCAACTAGGGGAAGTGACTGACTTAGCACTGGTGTTGAAAATTCGAGTTTCGCTCTGTATATTGAGTGCATCAGATTTCTAAACTAATTTCAGATCAATAAAAGTCTGTCATGCATTTCCGATCCCGGTACAACATCCTCATTTGTGCTTCACTCTGTAGTTGAAATGACACTGAGTATATAAATGAAGGAAGTGACACGTTCTTAATTCTCCACACTGTTAGTGACTTGTGCTGGTTTTTCTTATTGGCCAGCGAGTATCTTAATCACCTCCGTCTTCTCTGTGTTTAACCAGAGTCCCGTCTTCGCCGCCACTTTTTTCCTTCACGTGCCCAGTGGAGCTTAGCGCTTCAAGCTAGTGGCTTGAAATTTCTGTAGCAGTGTTTATTTCTACAGGATGGGGTTTCTAGCCTCATGCCAACCTTTCCTCTTTACCAGAATTATTTCTGGCTTAGAGAGGTAAAGGAGTGCGTTGGCCGAGAATCGAACCACGGGCCATGTTATGCATGGTCGGCGAGCGTCCTAACCGCTGTGCCACCAACGTACACTTTCCTCTGTCAATTTTTTTGGCTTTCACCTTTAAAGCTTTGAGCCTATATGCCATGAGACATTAATCATCCGCAAAGTGTAGATCTTCTGAAGTCTTCTTATTGATCCGGAGTTTTCTTATCTTCATGCTCACCACAGTTTGATGCATAATCCAGTCCACAAGAATTAGGTACAACATCAGTGAGAGTAGGAAGTTTTCCTTGTATTGCTCCTCTATCCAGTTTAAAAGCTTCTTTGAGTTTTCTTTTGTGGATGAAGTAATATGTTGCATTTTCATATATCTGCTGAATGAAACTGGTGTACTTTAACGACATATTTTCAGTGTCGAAGTATTTATCGAGTTAATCTTCAGTCAATGTTATCAAAGTCATTTTCAAATTCGATGAAGTTAATGTGGCGATTTCACTGTCATACTATGGTCTATCCGAAGATGATGCATAGAACAGAATTTTCATCTGAACATAATTAGCTTTTCCCGAATCTTTCTTTTTTGAGCTAAGTTCTGTATTCATTGCATCCCAATAATCTCTCTCGGACGGCACGACTTGGTATTTAGTTTGGCGTAGACAATAGTATGATCTTGCGCCAGTATTCAAGGGGCCTAAGTTACTCCGCCTAGGATGTTGGACACTGCAGCCTTTCTTTCAGTCAATAGATAGCCATAATCGGTATCGAATCATTGGCAGTAGTGGTGCTAGCATATTCCCCTACCTTCTTCAGAGTACCATCCGTACTGTATTCTGCATTATATCATCTCTAAGCATAACTCAGACTACGAATTGAGGCAAGAAGTTAGTTTATTTTAATACATTAATTCCCAAAAGACCTTACAATACTGTATGCAAATTATGCGGCGCAAATATCTAATTCCCTAACTACTGTTCAGTTGTACAAATGTATGAGGAATAATCAAGGTAAATAATAAGATTAGTGAATTCAAAGGGGTATTTATATAATTAGGGTACTTAATCATTGTGAGTTTGGGAAGCAGGAAGAGCATACTTGTCTTTTGTGATATATATTGGACACATACATATCTCCTGCCCCTCCTCCTTGCATTGTATTCTAAGAGGAAAGGTGAAATATATGTATTTGTGGCAGTTGTATAGATAAATAATGTTTTTCGGAGAATTTATGGTTTTTGTTAATTAAATTTATTTTGTTTCGTCTACAAATAAAATTGCTGTCACAGACTTCATTTGTATTCAGAATATTTAATAGAAGCTGGTAGAAGAGGTGAAAATAAAATCCAGAAACTGGATTAAAAGCAAATAGATTTTTATATATTCTATTCCTTCTGGTATCTTTCAATTGTTCTGTCAGCAGAAGACATTCCCAATACTTTTCGATAAGGCAAGAAAGACCAAACATTCAGTGTAAAATGACAACATTTTATTTCCTAGATTTCAATCGGCTACCGACTAACCAAAAATGGTTAAAAAAGAGGCGCTTAAAATGAAAATTCCAGTCTTGGTCTTTGTGATTATTAGACGGCCAGGTGCAATTAGCAGGAAGCCTTGGATTGAAGTTTCATACCTGCTGACACTAATCAGTCATCAGTCTTAAAGGAACGTATGTTCCATTCTGAGACTCGAACTTGTGTCACCCAGTTCTGTAGTCAAAGGTGTTACAAGTGAGCTATTCTGGTTTACCACTTATCTTCCGTAGGACTGTTATGGATACTGTGGTTGGGAAAATGTTATGTACTGGTCGAGTAATTAATAGTCCTGACGCAAGAAGGCGGAAGTCAGAAAACCATCACGTTCACAATGATACCTGTAGTTTTTCAAACAAGGAAAATCAATGCCACACAAGTGTATGAGCGAATGTTCAAAAATGAACGAATCAATAGACAGTCTTAACATGATTGGTTGTAATGTCATGTGACAACAAGGTCAGACATGTTTGTTTAGTTAGTGGACAGACAAAAGCATATTGTCAGTTATAATGAAATATCGATCCATATACAGATAGCAAAATATAATAGGCTGTCAACAACAAAACACACACATCATGTGGATACATATCAGAAAAAACTAATAGAGAACCTATCTGTGAACAAATATTTAGAAAAAAATGGAGATGGATCGGGCACACGCTTAGAAGGCCGTCGAATGATATCACGCACAAGTGAGCCCATCGTTCGAGTGGGACACGAATGTGGAACAACGAGTGGGTTATCAGTGCGAGGGCGACATGGAGGAGATTAGGCGACAAAGAGATGAGAGATTACGAGCAATCGTAGTCTCAGCTGATGAGGACCACAGAAAATAGAACAAAGTGAAGACAAGCTGCTGAAGCCTTATCTTTCACTTGGAACCTAAGGGAAGAAAAATTAAAAAAAAGAGGAAATGAGGGCTAGGGAAATGTTATGTGATTATGTCAAAGGGAATGTGCTGTGACGTAAAGTGATTTTGGAAAGGTCGTTAAAAAGCTTTAGCAACAGAATGCTTCCCATGGGATGTAAATATTAAAGGATGATAAGAGTGGTCATGTCTTCCTAGTTCTACTAATGATAATGTATGCATGAAAGTTTCTGAGTGCATATATAATCAGGTACATATAAAAGGTGAATATGAAACATATTAGACAGCCTCCACGGGATGGATAGACTATTAGAACATGGTGAATGGTAACCTATTACAGCCTCATGATGTTTTTCCAGGTTTCTGAACTATATCTCATCATTCATTATTCGTATGTAAATAATTTAAACAGCTGAACAAACGGAAAAAGAGTATAGAATATAAA